AGCAGATAACTTGTATTCTACATTTCACAGATTTATTGAAGAGGAATTTTTGGATTTTGGACTTGGGATTGAATTAAGACTTTTACTATGATATGATGGGGTGAATCTGTTTTACAAGAGGCAAGGACATGAATTTTGGGGGGCCAAAGTGTGGAATGTCATGGATTGAATTATATCCCCCAAAAATGTGTGTCAACTTGGCTAGTCCATGATACTCAATATTGTGTGATTGTCCACCATTTTGTCATCTGATGTGATTTCCCTGTGTGTTGTAAATTCTATCACTATGATGTAATAAGATAGAGTAGTAGCAGTTATATTGATGAAATCTACAAGATTAGATAGTGTCTTAAGCCACTCTCTTTTGAGATATAAAAGAGAGAAGCGAGCAGAGACACAGAGGGACCCATACCACCAAGAAAGCATTGCCGGGAGCAGAGCACATACTTTGGACCTGAGGTTCCTGCACTGAGATACTCCCAGACCAAGGGAAGATGGATGCATCACAAGGACTTTCCTTCAGAGAGAGAAAGAAAGCCTTCCCCTGAAGCCAGTGCCCTGAATTCAGACTTCTAGCCTACTGGACTGTGAGAGAATAAACTTCTCTTTGTTAAAACCATCCACTTGTGGTATTTCTGTTAAAGCAGCACTACATAACTAAGACAGTATTTGGTACCGAGAGTGAGGTGCTGCTCTAACAGATACCGAAAATGTGGAAGCAGTTTTGAAACTGTGAATGGATGGAGGACCAGCAGCAGCAGAGAAGCGGCAGCAGCAGAAGCGGGAGACCAGTGCCAGACAGCCCTGGAGCTGACTGACAGAGCGAGAGGGCTGAGTGCCTGTGTGCAAGAGGCTTCCTGGCAGAGTAGGGTGGCTCCGGACACTTATCGGTGGCGCTACAGAGCTTTGGAACACTTGCCCCAGCAGGGCAGATGTGGGCGTGAGGCCCGAGAGGCCACGGGAAGCAGAAGCTGAAGAGACAAGGAACACAAGAAGCCAAGCTGCCTCAGTCTTCAAAGGTATGGCCATGACCTCTGGGGTTTCAAAGGGTGGAGCCATGGTCTCTGGTGTTTCTAAGGGTGGAGTCACCACTCAGATGAACTGGGAGAATGGGGCCGCCTAAAGCCAAGGGAACAGAGTTGCTCTCCCAGTGGGCCTGGAAGGTGGAGCTGAAGCCCAGGGCCAAGGGGCCTCCACTCAGAATCTGGAGAGTGTGGCCAATACCTAGAGTCTGGAGGGCAGGGGCATTGTGTAAATTGTCTTAGAGAACAGAGGATTATTTTCAAGCCTTGAGGGCTAACACAATGTGTTCTGCTAACTTGCCTGGTGCCTGTTATGCCTTCTTTCCCTGCATTTTCTCCCATTTGTAATGGAAATGTCTAGCTTGTGCCTGCCTGTTGCACCATTGTACCTTTGGAAGCAGATAACTTGCATTCTGGATTTTGTGACCTTAATACTCCCCAGCATGTTTTCTCCTTCTCAAAATGGGCAGCTGAGGGCTGGACATAACTACCGCCATGATGAACCTATAAATTTCTTTTTTTCTTTGCCTTCTCCCTTTTCACATACCTTTGTTAATGGCTTTGTTTAGCACATACCTTTGTTAATGACTTTGTTTTATGACTTAGGATCCCCCACAGGAAGATTAGAGCCCAGAAGTCAGAGATGTATATCTTTAGCCAGATAAGGAAATGTCTGGTTCCTTATCTCTTTAGTATGATAAAGGGTCTCTGTAATTATCTTGAAATGAGTAACAACACTTCTAACCTTTGTAAAAATCATATATAAACTCTAATGTAAAAATGCCTTTTGGGACTCCCTAAGGACATCCTGCGTTGCTGCTGGGTTCCTGGCAGTGTACACTTCCTGAATTAAAACTTTCTCACTCTTTCTGACTTGGAGTATGATTTATTAGCTTGACTGCTCCAGGGCATGGACTCTATTTGGGTAACAAAGTAACAATTACACACATGAAGAAGAATTTCTGGATTTTTGACTTGGAGTTAAGATTTTTGCTATGATATGATAGGGTGAATATGTTTTGCAGGTTGCAAGGGTGTGAGTTTTTGGGGGCCAAAGTGTGGAATGTCATGGATTGAATTGTGTCCCCCAAAAAATGTGTGTATCAGTTTGGCCAGGTCATGATTCCCAGTATTGTATGATTGTCTACCATTTTGTAATCTGATGTGATTTCCCTGTGTGTTGTAAATTCTATCACTATGATATAATAAGATGGATTAGCGACAGTTATATTGATGAAATCTCTTTGTTAAAGCCATCCACTTGTCATATTTCTGTGAAAGCAACACTAGATAAGACAGCGTCTTACACACCAGGGAGGGGGGCCCTGATGGAAAGAAGAACATGTCTGCCTCTCACAAGTGAGTCATCTCCAGAGATTTTTACCTGACATGGTGATGTACTTTTATAAGTAATAACTTTTATACACATCCTGCACACAGTATATGAATATGGACACACACGCATGATGTATTTTTCTGGAAACAGCAATCCATGGAATTCAGCAAATACTGTGCACCTGTTCAAAACAACTAGGTAGCATAATATGTACTGAGTGAGGAACATGTTCCACGTGACAATGAGTGAAGTGAAGGAAAAAAGAATTACCTGTGGGTTCTCATTATTCACTCCCCAGCTCCTCCCAGCACACCTTCATCCCCACCCACTCCCAGCACTCACTTCTGAGGCCACTAGTGGTTCATGCCGGACTGTGTGGAGAACACCTGGGCCACTTCCTGCTGCTCCTGGGAGATGGTGGGCACAGAGCTGGAGGAGAGTGTGGGCACTGGAGTGGAGAAGGCACCCTGGGTCTCTATGGGGCCGGCGTCACTTACAAACAGTTGGTCATTCACGATGCATAGGCTGGAAGAAGAATGGGCCCTCAGACAGCTGGAGAGATGGACAACTTCACACCCCCAACAGCGATCTTGCTCCTACTCAGCAACCACTATCTTTCCATTCCCTGTTCTGCCTGCCTCCCAGATTCCTTGGCTGGTACCCTTTCCCCTCCCACAGAACCTGCCTTTGGAGAGATATCATTTTGTCTAGGTCATGATTCCCAGAATTGTATGGGAGATATTGTATTGTAATCTCATGTGATTTCCCTATGTGTTGTAAATTCTATCACTAGGATGTAATCAGATGGATTAGTGGCAGTTATATTGATGAAATCTCTTTGTTAAAGCCATCCTCTTGTGGTATTTCTGTTAAAGCAACACTGGGAGAGATATCTGCCTTTGGAGAGCCATCTGCACCCAACCCAGGGACAGTTTCACACCTGCCTTTACCCTTTTCAACATCCCAAGGAGGTAGATACTCTAATCTCCATATTCACAGGAGGACGCTTGTCACACAGAGGTCGCGTAACTTGACCAAGGTCACACAGCTGGTGAATGCTGGAGTCAGGGTGAGAACCCACTATTCCAACGTCAGAGCATACACTATTAACCACTGGGCTAGACTGCTCCTGGGATCTACCTTTTGGCATTCTGCAATATTGGGGAAACCCTGAGGAATGCACAGTCACCTTCCACACCACTGGCCCCAGGCTGGGACGGATGTTCCCACGTGGTACCCACAACACAGCACTTACCTGAAGTTGCTGGCAGGAGTAGCGATGAAGATCCGGGTGAAGGCACGAACACGAGCCTGACATACTTCTTCAACTTCAAGCACAACAAACAACAATACCCCTCAGAGTTGCCCATGCTTTATACGCTCATCAGCAGCATTCCCCACTCAGGGTCTGACTGTCCCATGGCACCCTGAAGGGGCCCAGACAGGGACAACCGCCCACTGGGAGTCAGGAGGGGGTGTCAGCTATGGCAGGGCAGCAACAGGAACAATCACCTCCAAGTGATGGGGCCTCTACTCTGTGTCAGACCCTGTGACACACTCTTCACAAGTTCATTTGACTCATTTTTCACAGCAGCCCAAGAGATGGGTATTACAAATGAGGAGACTGAGAGGTAAGTAAGTGTCCCAGGTGTCAGAGTGAGGGACTGGGATGAGAGCCATCAAACTCCCCAGCTTGTGTCCCTAACACCCGGGCTGTGCTGGGGCAGACACGTATGGACATGGGTCAGACCAGGGTGGGTTGGGAGCAGGGTGGGAGCTGGGGCACACAGAGGGAATAGGAAGGGAAGAGATCAGGGAACTCTGGAGAGTTCTTAGAGGGAGACTGTCAGGGGGAGGGAGAGTGGGGGACATGGGGAAGGGACTCTACAGACACTCACCCTCCTTGAACACCCCATTGACAGAAAAGCAGAGCATCTTTTCCTGAAAGAGGAAAACAGCTCAGGCTCCCAGGAGCCCCTAAACTTCCTACCCACCTCCGCCCTCTGGGTCTGCCTCAGGGAGGAAGCAGGTGCTCACCGTCTGGACACACATGTCCACCACAAAGGAGCTGAGGTCATGCTGGGTTTTGGGCAACACACTGAGGAAGTCAACAATGTCACGTTTTGTGTGTTTCAGCAACTGAACCCGCAGAACTGAGGAGGGGAGATGGAGAAGAGAAGGTCAGGGGCTGCCTCACTCACCTGGCCCCTATGATTGACCCCTTCACATCTTCTGTCTCATCCAATCTTCCCCTTCACACACTTACCAGGGTCCTTGAGCTTCCTTATATTCCTGCTCCCCATGGAGTACTTGTGCAAGCAGCTTCTAGGATAAAAAGAGGAACAGGAGGTGGGGGACTGGCCAGTGTCTGCTGGGGAGTCACAGGGCCCAGGGCTGTCATTGGATCTGTGATACTCACGGAACCAGGTCGTCAGGATTGAGGAGAATGGTCAGTGAGAAACAGGCCTCGTCATGGTAAGCATCCAGGAGACCCTGCCGGTCTCCAGAGTCATAGATCCAGTAATATCTGTGAAATAGTAAAGGGGACAGGCTCTCTGTGGCCTGTGACCCTAAGTGGACTTGAAAGCCCCCCATGAGCAGGCCTGTACCTGGGTGACCTGGCCCATCCCATCCCTCTCTGCCACAGGGTAGCATGGGTACTTACTGCTGCAGGAATTGCAAGATTAGATTCTTCAGGGTCTCAGATCCAAAGACATTCCCCTGATATCAAAACAGTTCTCAGGACCACGGCTATTATACCTTCTTCACCCACCACCCCAAGCCCTGCTTAATCCCACTTCCTCACCTTGCAGACTGGTAACTTCTTGTAGGCTTCATTGCCAAAGATAATGGGTGGGGGTATCTTGTGGTCATCCTGGGGGAGGGAAAAGGAAGTCATAAGTGCAGACTAGGGGGGTGACACTGAATGGTCAGGGAAAAGGATGGGCCCAGGAGAGAGGGAGGGCCAGAGGTCAGGGTGAAAGAGCCTTGGAAATTCCATGGGCAAGACTATTATTGGGTCTTCACCGGCAGGTTCCAGAATACGGTGGAGAACTGTGGAGAAGGTCCATAGCCTTTGTCAGGGTCCCTCATGGGTCTGTCCTCCATGAGGATTAGGGGTCAGATCCAAAAATCTAACCTGGGCAAAATCTAAGGGACTCAGGGCAGGTTGTGAGTGCGGTCTGTACCAGCTAGAGGAGTAAGGGATAAAGGAAGACACTTACCAGGTGTAATAACTTGGAGAACAATTCCAGGATGGAGCTGTCAAATATCAAGACAGAACAGAAAAGCAAGTAAACACAGAGCTGACTCACCTCATGGAAGCATGCCTACACAGGAACACAACCAGCTGTGTCCCACCTGCACTCCAGTGCCACCACCCCTCCAGGACCCTGGGCACCTCCCCCATGGACTCACCCAGAGAGAGACCTAGTGGGTGTTCTCTCCATATCCCTCTCCCTGTCTCCTTCCTCCTGGGAAGCTCCCACAGGACAGTCCTGA